ATGCACTCTTTTTTTCTGGCTTACAGTAATTTATGCTAGATCAATACACCTCAAACTAATTGTAGTAAAGGGAAAATTTTTAAAATTCCCAAATGCCGTGGACTCATTTTTGTAAAATACAAAATCACGGGGTTGGGTGAAGTGGCAATGTCAAACTGCTCCAAGAGTTTCTAAATGCTTAGGCTCACTTTTTGTATTTGTCTTGTCTCAGGTGGGCACTGGTCCATGGACCTCACTTTGAGGAGCCCTGATACACAGCCATATTCCTCACCTTCAGATTCACATACTTTTCAAGTTAAATATTTCTCTTCTGAAGATTGACATAATACTAGCTTTACTTTTCAGCTTCACTTCAAAACCAGTTTTTAAAAAATAGAAGAGCCAATCAGTTAATCATTTTTCCCAACACATCTGGTTATGTGCTTCCCATTTATCTATCTTCACTTTCTTCAAAGTGTAGTAATCTCTAACTTATTTCATAAAATCAAATCTGACTGAAACATACTTTTAAGAAAGAAAAAAACAATTTTGTGGAGTTTATACCAGATCAATGAGCTACAGGATGGTCTCTTGGTCACACAATGCCAGCAGTTTCACTTCTCAAACTGTCACTAGTCTCTAGCAATCCTGACCAAGGCCAGGGCCACACTGATAATGGGCAGAAATCTACCAATCCAAGAAAGGTAAAAAACACTCTCACTTATTCCACCCTGCCTGGCACTCTGCCATCAACCTGTACTTTTTGGATTTAAGACTCAGATTCTATGTCAGCAATAACTGGAGTAGCTATTACATAAGCTGGTTATAGGATGCCATGTGCTTTCAACCAGCATCTTTTACAGTTTGGTATAACAAAAATTTAGTTTTAGCACTCTTTTCTGAAATAGGCTTCTCTTATTTTTAGTGGGCTTTAATTACTTTGAGAGGGAATTGAATAAAAATATACTGAAAAATCATTTCTCTAGGGAATTAAAAAATAAAGTTTATGGAAAACATGAAACATGGGGAAATATTAAATATGGTAAACTACACAAATGTAACACACAAGTTATACATTGGGCTTTTTATGATCTAAAAATCTATTCCAAGAAAAAGAAAAATTGAAATTCGAAGACTTATGAGCTTGTTTCAAAAAACAGTAAAAATAAGTTCCAACTGGTGTGAGAATATGGTAAAGATACAATGCAGTACCAGGGTATGTAATAGCACAGGGCGGGCAAGGCATATGCAGAGGGAAACTTTAAATGCAGAACATTTTACACTGCTTTTTAAAGGGGTTTTTACAAAAGTAGGAAAACATTATATATATATAATGTATATATATATACACACACACATATCAATAGCAGAGAAAATCATTGAAACAACATGTCTGATGAAGTTTTCCTTACACAGTTTTCCAAGAGCAAGCACACAGCCAATGTGGATTAATCACTAATGAATTCAATAAAGTGAACAGATTATTAGCTCCTAAAGCAAGTTATTTTGTTTTCAAATGTTTCAATGTACCACATGTTTCATAAAAATAGTTTTTATTATTTAAAATGATTTATGAAGCTAGAATGCCCAATTTTTATTTCTGTGTTAAAATTTAAGAGTTAAAAACCGTTAACAGACAAACAGAATTTGCAGTTCAGCTAACAGTCACTGAATGTGAAAAGAGTTCTTAAAACGCTCCTCTTCAGAGCCATTCTCGTTCCCATAGAAACCAAAGTGAGATCCTGGAAAACAAGGTAAGTTCTAAAATAATCACCATTATAAATATCCATTATATAAATGTAAATATAGGCAATTGAAATGATTTAGATGATTTTGAAATTGCATATCATTTCCCAAACCATAATGATTCCTTCAGAGTGGTTCTTGTCTGTCATATAAATACAGCATTTACAAAATTTTAAAAATTCTTATGATTTACTTGTGAGACCATAATCGCCTTTTCAAACAAGTCTTGGGCATGCAAATATCAATTTTTGAACGTGTATTTTGGTGCAAGATGGGTCTTTTTTGGCGGGGCTTTTACTTTGTGGCAGATTAAGTACTTATCATTATTAGCATTTGGATTTTATACAACCATTTCTCTATTCATTATTAATTGCTCTAGATATTTTAGAGAATCATTTTACAATTATGATTTTTCACATTTTTATTTGTCCAAGCATTTTGTCATGATAAAAGAGCCAAGAAATCTTCTTTTATTGGGATTGTAATTCTTCTCAAAGTCCAGAACCATTCACTGAGTAGAGTACTCATAATATTAATGAAGACATGAGTGTGCATTGTTCACAGATACATATCCTTCTAAGAAAAGCTAAGCCTCCTAATATTTAAGAAGCAAGAAGATCTCAGAGGAAAAATTCCAGTAGTGAGAGGCAAACATTTGAATTTAGTATGGCTGTTAAAGGAGTTCTGGACATGCTACCCCAAAATATGCCTCTTTTGTATATTGATTATTTTGAGCTGAAGGCATTTGAAAAGTGACAGATTCAGGAAGAGGCTTTCTCTGAACTCCCTTTATCTGCCTAACAACAGATTCTGCAAAAGGAATTTAATTGTCATAAATCCCCTCCCTGGGACAGACTCTTATTACTGGAGTGACTAGAAGTCAACTCCACACCCAGACAAACTATGTCACAAACTGTCATACCTCCCATTTATTCTTCTAAGGGCCTATTCATCTTTGCTAAAAATCACTCACTTTCCCCTAAGATGCCTATTTCCCCCTCTTCTCCTATTAAGATAGTATTTAAGCTCTTAAATCGCACTGCCTTTTTTTGGTATTCACTTTTTTTTTTCCTGTGATGCCCCAGTGCGCATAATATTAAAAATTAATAAATTTGTTTACTCTGTTAATCTGCCTGTTGTTAATTTATTTTATAGACTCAGCTATTAAACCACGGAGAGTGGAGGGAAAGTCTTTTCTTCCCTATACTGTTAAAAGAGCCACAACAAGTTATAGACTAGTCACGCAGTACCGTTAGCTGGATCAATTTTCAGAAACTCATTATTTTCTTTTACTTTCATTTCATCTAAACCCTTGCTTATTAAAATATGTTCTCCAAACCAGCAACATTGACATCACCTGGGAGCTTGTTAAAAATGTAGAATCTCAGGCCTTAGGTACACCAATTGAATCAAAATCTGCATTTTAATTGCAATTAACAATCTTAACAAGATCGACATAGATTTGATTGCACAATAAAGTTTAGAAAAATTTGTTGTTGTTAGTGCCCTCCAGTTGATTCTCACTCCTAGGGACCCTGTGTACAGGAGAGTGGAACCTGCCAGGTCTTTTTGCACCATCTGCTCACTTTCCAGTGTTATATCAGACAATGCTGCACTGCTCTTCACAGGGGTTTTATGGCCAATTTTTTCAGAAGTGAATGGCCAGGTCTTTCTTCCTAGTTTGTCTTAGTCTGGAAGCTCTGCTGAAACTTGTCCACCAGGGGTGACCCTGCTGGTATCTGAAATACCAGTGGCATAGCTTTCAGCATCACAGCAACACTCAGTCACCGCAGTATGACAACTGACAGACAGGTTGTATGGTTCCCTGACCAGGAAACAAACCTAGGCTGCGGTGGAAAGAGTGCTGAATCTTAACCACTAGACCACCAGGGCTAAGTAGAAAAATAGCCAGTTTCAAATATTTGCTCCAGAAAAACTTCAGAAGCTTTATTCCAAGTGGACTGATAGAAGCTAAAGAACCTACTAGACTCTAAGAGGGGAGGAACCATGCCTGTGTGTGGCATCTGCACACTATGTAACTCAGAGCAGAATCCATAAACAATATTAAATAATTTTGAGAAAAGAGAATAAAAAATATCCCTTTATTTCAAAAATGACATATTTTCAAGTTTTATGTTTTTAAAAGAAAATATTCTTATATTTTATTATATCTTATTATTTTATTTTTACTCACTCCCCATAAGCCAAACCATTAAATATATATCAGACAAAAATCAACTCAAAATGGATTAATGATTTAAATGGAAGAACTGAAACTATAAAACTCCTAGAAGAAAACATAGGGAAGAGCTTCATGACATTGGTCTGCACAATGATTTCTTGGATACGACTCCAAAAGCACAAGCAACAAAAGCAAAAATAGACAAGCAAGACTACATTAAACTAAAAAATTCCACACAGCAAAATAAACAATCAACAGAGTGAAAAGGCAATGTACAGAATGGGAGAAAATATGTGCAAACTATATATAACTGATAAGGCGTTAATCTCCAAAATATAAAAGGAACTCCTACAATTCATTACCAAAAAAACAAATAACTCAATTAAAAAATGGGCAAAGGACTTGAACAGACATTTCTCCAAAGAAAACATACAAAAGACCAATAGGCATATGAAAAGATCCTCAACATGATGAATCATCAGGGAAATGCAAATCAAAACCACAGCAAGATATCACCTCACATCTGTCGGGATGGCTATTGTTAAAAAAAACCAAAAGGTAATATGTATTGGCAAAGGTGTAGAGAAACTGTAACCCTTATATATTGTCAGTGGGAATGTAAAATGGTGCAGCTACTACAGAAAATGGTGTAGAGGTTTCTCAAAAGATTACAACTAGTACTACTATGTGATCCAGCAATTTCACTTCTGGCCATTTATCCAAAAGAATTAAAACCAGGGTCTCGAAAAGATACATGTACTCCCATGTTTATTGCAGCATTATTCACAATAGCAAGATATGGAAATAACCTAAATGTCCATTGACGGATGAATAGATAAAGAAAATGTAGTGTATATACACATGATGGAATATTATTCAGCCATAAAAAAGAATGAAATTATGCCTTATTTGACAACATGGATGAACGTGGAGGACATCATGCTAAGTGAAATAAGCTTATCATAGAAGGACAAATAGTGCATGATTCCACTTACATGAGGTATCTAAAATAGCCAAACATAAAAACAGAGAAATGGAATAATAAAAATAATAAAAATAATAAATAAAAAATAACTTAAAAAAACATAGAACACAGTAGTGTTTAGAACTAGCTGCAAGTGTCCAGTCTGCCTTCACAGTTACAACAGGCCACTTTTCTTCAAGACCTGTTTCAGGGGAAAATGAATACATTTTAAAGATACAAAGGAATAAAATTTGAACAGAGTATAGATTTATATGAAATAAGAGATGTTCTATGAAAGATATCCCAATCTCTACTTTCTAATATCTCAACCTTCCTACACGTCCCCTGCTGTATTTCCATTGCTGCAATTTGCATATGGTTTGGTTTGCCCCACCCTTTCAAATTTTCATTTTCTCCTAATAGAGTTCCACTCGCATTTATCACAAACGTATGTGGAATTTTGATGATGGTGTTGGTAGCTAACTAAATGTTGTGACCTAGTGGAGAAAAGAGGGTCCTGAAGGTGTAGTTTATGGATTTAAGCTCATCTAGGACCTGCCCTTTGGAGACTCAGAGGGAAGCTGCAGCAAATGTTTGTGCTCTGGAGGTTAGAAAAGGCAGATAAAAAGACAGCCACAGCACAGCAAAAGCTCAGTACTTCCGGGGCCGGACGTGTGGCTGAGTGGTTAAGTTTGCACGCTCTGCTTCGGCGGCCCAGGGTTTCACCGGTTCGGATCCTGGGCGCAGACATGGCACCACTCATCAGGCCATGCTGAGGTGGCATCCCACATGCCACAACTAGAAGGACTCACCACTAAAATATACAGCTATGTACTGGGAGGATTGGGGAGAAAAAGAAAAAAAAAGATTGGCAACAGTTGTTAGTTCAGGTACCAATCTCTAAAAAAAAGTTCAGCACTTCTTGATGACAAGCATGGATGCTGTTGGAAATGAACTTTTCTTCTAACCTTGAGTTTTATGCATTGCTACAGGGTGAGAATCAGCATTATCATTCTCCTTTCTACTTCAAACTATTACTATTTGTTGCCTATTTACCATATGCCAGGCAGCCTTCTGAGTGTTTTACATGAAATAACTCAGTTAATCCTTACAACAACCTCTTGGGGAAGGTAATTTATTACTCCCACTTCAAAGATGAGTAAACTAAGGCCCAAAAGGGAAAGTAATTTTCCAGGACCCCTCAGCTAGTAAGTAGCAGAGCCTGAGTTTGAACTCAGGTGGAGTGACTCTGGAGCCAAAGCTTTTTACATACCTTGAAAGGATGATACAGAGACTTGAGGTGTAGGTTGAATGGATCGGCCTCCTCAGTTCTTCATGGCCTCCTGAAGTCAAAGTGAAAGTGCCCTTGAAATCAATCCTTCCTCCAGATATCAGCCTGGATAGAGATACATATAGAAAGGTCAATCTCATATGAGCCATTCTGCCTAGTTACTGAATGGTCACTCCATAGCAGATTTAAGGATTCAGGTATTTGTGATGTAACTAATATCACGTGGACCCCAAATGGAACCTTTAGGAAAAAAAAGATTCGCTTGAGACAAATGGAATCATTTACTATAAAATCTGCTGGTAACTTGATTTCCTGTGAAGTTAAATATAAGCCACCAATTACAGATATGACATGTAGGTAAAGGCATAGTTTTGACTACAATGCTTCTCATTCGAGTTGTGGAAGCTTTCTTAGCCACAGAGAGCTAAGTCAATCCTAAGATTTGATTTTCTTTATTTTATCTTTTTGCCCTCTGCACTTCTGTCTACATGTATGTGTTTCTGCCATTTTCCTACATGTGTATATGTTTAGTAGTGTTAGAAAAAATGATTTTGGGGTTTCTTGTATCAACTGTCTGTCTCTCCACACACCGAGATAGTTTGTTTTCTATTGTTTCAGAAAGCCTTTAGGATACAATAGCTCCATTACTTCTTAGCACTGTGACAGAGGGCATGACAGAGAGTATGAAACTCTAAGAGATGTCATCAAGGTTAGCAAGTGCTGTCATACAAATAGAATTTATTATGAAGAAATATGCTACGTACTTTCTACATTTCTACTGTCTACATTTACTTCCAATATTAAATTTTCCTCATCTTTTCTCTTTTTTCATTAATTTGGTATTTATATAACACGCCAAATTATATATACTTTGAACTTAGTTTGAAGACTGCTAATGTTTCCAGTAATCAATACGAATCAAAACAGTATTATAAGGGCCATCTTATTTTTTAAAAATTTACCTCAAATACTTGTCCAAATTTGTGCTCTATTTAGTGCTGCATTCTCTGTATGCCTACACACTCTGTTCATTTCTCAATTTTATTTTAAAATAGAGATTCAAATGAATTACCATGTTTCATTGTGATTTATCTGTTTACAAGCCTCTGAGTGGAATATGAGCTCTTTGAGGAGAAGGACCTCGTCTACACATATTTGATTTCCAGCACAGTGCCTGGTACATGGTATGAACCAACGTTGTTGAATGAAGAAGCAGGATTTAAACATATAAGCAAACATACGTCTCAAAATTTACAATAATACCCAATTATATATTTATTATATTACATAACATTCATCTATAATATTACATATATATATATAAGTTTTATATAGCTCACTACATTCAAAATTATATTCAAAATTAGAAAAATTCAAAATGATATATTTTGAACACCACAAAATGCGACATACATCGAGTTTTACATAGTACTATTTTATAATAACCTGTAAGCTGGTTATTACACACACGCATACTCTATTTAATAGAGTGAATTAGTTTAAGAACATGGAGCTAATCTATGCTAAGGGCCTGCCTGGCATTTAGCAGGCCTTTCATGAATCTTAGCAGACACTTCATTCCTCAGCCGTAAAGTAAGTAGAAGTGTTTAATTTTTCTACACTTTATGAGTCTTTTCCAGTCAGGGAAACCTACACTGATCTCAAATCTGTCAATTCAGAGAGTCCAGATAAGACGGTAAAGGTACAAAATAATTCAGCTTTCTAACTCTCGGTATTGCTAAACCCGCAGGAAGCGCTGGGTGGACCTCCAGTATCCCAGCATTCCTCGCGTTGCTCCCGCTGCTGGTCTCCTGCGTCTCTATGGTAGAGCCGGCCTCGGCAGCGGCAGTGGCGGCCTCGGCGGCAGCGAGGAAGAGTGAAGGTTCCAACTTTCCTACTAGTCCGAGGGCTTTTGGGCTCGAGGGTCGTGATGTCCGAGAAAAAGCAGCCGGTAGACTTGGGTCTCCTGGAGGAGGACGACGAGTTCGAGGAGTTCCCTGCGGAAGGTAACCGGCTGGGCCGCGCGGACGGTGACTCAGGCCTCCGCTGGGAGGTGGCGCGGGCGCAGGGCCCCAGCCCGGAGGCGCCTGCGGGAAGTTGAGACCTCCGCGGCCGCTCTCGAGGCCCTGCACGCACGACCTTTTGTGCGACCCGCGTTGGGTTCGCAGTGTCACGGTGGCGCTCCCCGGTGAGGCTGAATGCCTCCGCTTCCTCCTTGGGAGGAGCCACGGTGGCCTGGGGCCCCTAGCCCGTGTCCGGGATGGTTGGTCCTTCTGCTCTTCAGCTGGGTTACGCGCCACCTCCTATATGTCTACATAGTCTCTTTTCTTTTTATTTTCTTTTGGTTTAGCAGCCTTCCTTTGGCTTTAAACCTTCCAGAATTAAATTGTTTCTGGGTAGGCCAATGCTGCTTAGTTTTAGGACTTTACAAATAAAGCCTAAGTAGGATGGGAGGATCAGTTGTTGGTGCTTAATACACCTTATTGTCTTACTCTTATTCCTCACTTTTGATCGCTTAACTTCGAACTAACATAAGTTTAAGGATTTATAAGATCCTCAAACGTCTACGTTTTTGTTGGCTTCATGGTTGCCAAGAAGAGCTTTAGCTTTCTCATTGTAGGTGATAGCAAATAGCTGATATTTATTGGGTGGTTACTAGTCTAAGTGCTTTGTTTGTATTAGCTTAAATCAGTTTCGCAAATCTAGCCAGTAGGCATCGGTATTAACCATTTTTCAGATAAAGAAACTGAAGCTTGAACAGTTAATAAACTTGTCCAGTATCGTGTAACTGGCTAGAAATGATAGACACCTGGCCCAGTTGACACCAGAGCTCTTAAACTCTAGCTGTACTGCTTCTGTTTGTTACATGGTTGTTGCCAGTTAGAGGTTTTCAAAATTATTTGCTTTATAGACTAATTGTTATGTGTAGGATAAACATTTATCCCCTAAGAACAGAAGGTTACTATTGGGTTGCCTTTCTGAAGGTGGTAGGAAGAGAATTGTGGTTTATGGTGTACAAATCTGTTACATTAAGTAATTACTGCTTCACTAAATTGTCTTTAAGTTGTACCCCATCATGATCCTATTGTGCATAAAACCACATGGCTGGAATATTGTTCTTTTTATTTATAGTGTACTCTCTTATTTTGTTTAGTGGAAGAAGACATTTTAGTGTGCATACTACACAAACACATAAACTAACCCAAAGCACATTTCTTTTCAATTCTGAGATTCGTTATGTATTGTGGGGATTGTTTGTTTTGGTAGTGGATTTATCTGTCTAGACATGTGTTCTTTACCTCACTTTCAAGTTGGTTTATAATCCTCCAATATTGAGCTCTGTAGTAGAAAACTGACTTACTGAGGGCAAGGTCCTCTTCTTACTCAGATTTGTTTCAAATAGCGTTTATTCATTGTTGATCATATGCAAAGTACAATGTTAGGCATTTTATTTACATTATATAGTCTGATTATCACCACAACCCTGAGGAAACAGACTCGTAGATTTAAAAAGCTCGTCATTGGGGTCGGCCCCGTGGCCGAATGGTTAAGTTCGCCCGCTCCGCTGTGGCAGCCCAGGGCTTTGCCGGTTCAGATCCTGGGCGCGGACATGGCACTGCTCATCAGGCCACGCTGAGGTGGCGTGCCACATGCCACACCTAGAAGGACCCACAACTAAAATATACAATTATGTACTGGGGGGACTTGGGGAGAAAAAGCAGAAAGAAAAACCCGAAAAAGATTGGCAACAGTTGTTAGCTCAGGTGCCAATCTTTGAAAATAAATAAATAAATAAAAAGCTTGCCATTAAGTAGTCAAGCTAGGATCTGAAGGGTCTGTCTGAGTCCCCAACCCATGCTTTATCCCTAATGCGTAGCAAAGTGCCTGGTGCATAGTAGGTGGTCAATAAATGCTTCTTGACTAAATGAACTTGTATTTAAAATAAGTAGTTGAGAATTGACTGCTTAAAAAGGATGTACAGATAACTGTGCACCTGATGATACACTTGATTTTTCTTGGCAACTTTCATGGCATCAGCTTTTGCAGAATATGTAGTTTGTTCTTGTTCTAAATTTATGTTGTGAGCAGCAATTTATTCAAAATGTTGGTAGTTATGTAGTAAAAACTTTTATCAATGTTAAAAGGAAAAGCAAATAATATTTTTTCTGAAGACACAGGCCTTGTAACAAACTGGCTTACAGTATTAGCATTAAGTAACTCATCATTTTTGGTCACCTTACAGAGTATTTATTGTCTTCAGGTTTGAATATGTAGACCCTAATTCATTCAGGAAATTTTCCATTTAGAATAAGAAATAACATTTGAAATGCCTTCGTGTTGTTCAGGTTTCTGTATGTTTCTTCTCTTGTTTATAATTCTGACAGGTTTTCCTTTCATGTTAATTTGAATTAGTGAGATTTTGCTGGATACAAAATTAGCCCACTAGGTGAAACCAATCAATATTTACTAATAAAAACTGTTCTGATACATAACAAAACTAAAAGAAAAAAAAACTTGGAAAAATATCACCAAAGAATCATTCATCTTTTGAAACTGTACTTTTGTTACATTTTTTTGGCCTAGTCGTGGTTTAGTCTCTATGTGTGACTAAACACGTGTAGTTGCTACTCCAAGTGTGATCCAGGGAACTACTCCAGTTTTGGCATCTCCTGGGAGCGTGTTAGAAACGCAGCATCTCAACCTAGACCTACTGAATCAGTTTGGACTTTACCAAGATTCCTAAAAGATTTGTATGCACGTTAAAGTTGGAGAAGCACTACTTTAAAACAGTAGCCTGTTTTGAATCTTTCAGTATTTGAGTTTTCAGTTCAGTTATTAATGCCCTGAATTACTTTCCAAGTTCTTTGCCTTCTTTGGAAACTCTTTTTCTTGTTATTGTCTTTATGGTAAATATGCCATTGAGAAACTCACTAAGCAGTACAGCTTAAAATTGCCTGTAAGCATCTTTTCAATTTGTAGGAGGTCTTACTTTCAAAGGCCTTGTGTCCCAGTGCTCCAGCAAGTGGATGATATTTATAGTCTAGGATAACTTGCAGTTAAGAGCCTGCTGCATGAAAGCCGTTATTGAAATTATGTATCCCTAGTTTGACTGAAGGATTGTCCATCTTTTGGGAGTGTTGTTGCTACGTCTTATCCCAGATAAGAACTTGTTCGGTAGGATGTTAGTTACTCATTTTAAAGAAGGAGAATTTCTGGGGCCGGCCCAGTGGTGCAGCAGTTAAGTGCACACGTTCTGCTTCAGTGGCCTGGGGTTCACTGGTTTGGATCCCGGGTGCGGACATGGCACCGCTTGGGAAGCCATGCTGTGGTAGGCGTCCCACATAGAACGTAGAGGAAGATGGGCACAAATGTTAGCTCAGTGCCAGTCTTCCTCAGCAAAAAGAGGAGGATTGGCAACAGATGTTAGCTCAGGGCTAATCTTCCTCAAAAAAAAAAAAAAGAATTTCTGTTTTAAAAAGAAAACTAAGAATATGTTCTCATGGGGGCTTCATTGCTTTTTCTGAATAGCTCTTCACTGTGCCGTAGAACATGTGGGGTGAGTCTCTGAAGGTATAGAGAAACAAATACTCTTTATTTTTTTATTTAGTCTGTGGATCTGTGTTGCATTGGCAGTTTCTCACAATTCTATTTGGTGAGTGTGTAATTTACTGGTTATTAAGCAGGAACTGTTAAAAATTCATGTTTAGGATCTTTGTGACATACATTCTGCATCTTATTGACTCAACTGATTGAGAATAGACATTCAGTGTTCTGGGCATGATTGATTATAATTTTGGAGGCTTTGGCATGGTTAGAATTTTAGAAAATTCTAAAAGCAACTCAAAATTCTGGAAAGCAACTCAAAGTCTAGAGGAGATTGAACTTGTCAAGATCATGCAGCTAGGTTGGTAGTAGTAGAGCAGGGTCTAAAACTGAAATGTTCTATAATTTACTTGAAGCTTCAAACAATTTTTCATATCAGACAGATAATGAAAGGGTATTAAAAATATTTTCATTAATTTCCTTTTTCTGACAATTCGAAGTGTGAGTAAAAGTGAGAACAAGTGAGCCTTCAGGTTCTTTTCTCTTCTTCCTTTGCCAGAATTGAGAGTTTTTTTTTCTTTTTCGAGGGAAAAGCTTTTTTAGAATACTTAAAATGAACCTGTGGAAGCAATAGTATATACAAGATACTATTTAAGCAGTAATATATACAAGAGAATACTATTAAAGTAGTCTATAATTTTTCTATAACCAGTGAAACTGCTATATTATCTGAAGAAATCAAGAACCAGCCACCTCCCCATCCTCATTGAGAAATTCCTGGCTAAAACACTGTTGATGGGAATTTATTGAGGCAGACAACAGGCTCGTGTTCCCCTAATGCTACCAACGTTCTGGAATAACTGAGGTACTCTCACCTGTACTTAACATAGTAGGACATCTTACAGTGGTTCTTAACCAGGGGAGTATTTTTGCATGTCACATTCACTTGACAGGTGGGAATGTGAAATAACTACCAGCATTTAGTGTATAGAGGCCAAGGACTTTAACTGCCTGCTGTGCGTAGAGCAGTCCTGGACAAGGAAGAATCGTCCTATGAAAAATGGCATTGAGAAATATTTACGTGAACATTGGATACCAACTGGACTAAACCATCAACAGAAGGGTTCCTTAGAATCTTAAATGTAGAAGGTAGACACAACTAATATTGACTATGTCAGATATTGCACTAGTTAGTTTACCTAGTGCCAACAGGGGTTTTGCTATTTTCACTTATTAAAACATAGTGGACACATAAATAATACCATCACACATTTAAATTGGTGGTGGTAGCACGAAATGGAAAAATCATGTTGCTAAAAATTTTGAAGAAAAATGATAAATACAGCGGATGACAAAGTACCTACTGAATGTCCATTTATGGTAATCATATGCAAGAGGAAAGTTTTTGAACCCTCGATGGAATAAGCATGATGAATCTGGGATCAGACCTAGATTCAGAACCTATCGTTCATCTACTTTTGGCTTGTCAGCTCATGTTAGTTACTTCTTTTTAAAAATATTTTTATAGTATAATATATAAGATAATTGTACAAGTAACTGCTTATAGTAAAAGTTTAAACCTATGAATAGGTATAAATTGAAAAGTAAATCACTGTTTCTCCTTGCCTTTCCCCAAAAATGTTTCTCATGCTCCAGTGTTTGGATATATCCTTCAAATACACACAGAGGACCACGTTATATGTAATATTCTCCTCCTATAATATTCTTTTACTGTATATATCTTAGATTTTCGCATTAA